TGTGGCAGCTCTTGTAGAGAATCCGGTCCTCAAAGACAAAATGAAGGACCAGGTCCTGCAACATCTGGAAAACCTTCAGTTGCAAAAGGACGAGTTGGACATGCCTTTAGCGATCGTCCTCCTGGTCATCCGTGAGGCGGAGGCCTCGGACGACAGCCCAGGAAACATCTACGACGAACTGACGGCTCTCATGATGGGCAAGATAGAGGAGAGGTTGGTCTTGAAGGGCGTTGAGGACGCGAATGAGAAAATCCAAGCGTACCACGAGTTACAGAAGACAGTCGCTCCCTGGGGTGTGAAGAGGCTGGGAAGCGACCGAAGAGCAGAAGGCACTGAACAGTTGAAAGCAAAGTGCAATAGTCTCAACTTACCGCACCGAGAAATGCTGTCGGGGTTTCTCATTTCGAAAAAGTCTTAATAAGCACTGTTTGTACATTAGACTTCATCATCATGTAGTTAATAGTTATGCTGTAAATACAGTTGCTAAAGATGTCTGTAAAAATAGTGTATTATATGTGTAAGAGGACATTGAATGAAAGAGCATGTGAAACCAAAGTTATCTGTACTATATGATGAGCTACAACGCTTAGGTCATCAAGGGCAGATACTCATTTTGTCAGGTCCTGAGGATCTCATTGCAACAGTCGCAATACTGGAAATGCCCAAGGCATTCGACATACTCAGACAAACGAACAGTTGCAGAGTCAGTCCTCCACGCTGTCGACTGTCAGGAACAAAAGGTATCCCACACTTGAACAAACAACGATGGCAAGAGACCTAGGAAATATCCTTCTGTCTTTTCCCAAGGCGTGCTCGAACCGGACTCGTTCAGGCAGTCTTTCGCAGCCGCAAGCCAGATGGCGACTTTTGGGAACGCAGAGATGCATCTGTGTCCTAGATCTCCAGACAGCACAGAGAGAGAGAGAGAGAGAGAGAGAGACGAGAGAGAGAGAGAGGAGAGAGAGAGAGAGAGAGAGAGAGAGAGAGAGAGAGCGTCTTAAGAAGTACTCGTCGTCGGGAGGAGAGAAGCAATGCGGATTCGGCTCCTGCAAAGTCGCAGAGCTTCAGGTGAGTTGGTATTGAAAGTGAACTTTAGGAAGCAGCGCCCACCCTTAAATCATTTTTTTTTTTTAGATTTTCCCCAACTTTTTGGCACTACTTTCATTAGAAATCTACAATTAACAAAAATAAAAGGTACTTTGATCTACCTTTATCAGTAGAGGTATATATATATATATATATATATATATATATATATATATATATACATACACACACACACACACACACACACACACACACACACACACACACACACACACACACACACACACACACACACACACACACACATATACACTTGAAACATTCACTCCTAAATCATTACACGTCAAAATAACGCGTCTAGTTACCCTACTGATTAAATTCTTCTACCGAAGTTACTCCATCCTCGGGCCATTCTTCCCCTGTCGTCTTCGTCCTCTTCCTCCTCTTTCTCCTCCTTCGGCCTCCTTCCTTCTTTCCAGAGAAACCTTCATCTTTCCTGAGGACTCTTGACTGCGACATAATTCTTCTCCACAACCTAAATGTTTTTTATAACAAAAGCAATATAAATTTATTTCTTCGTTAAAGTATCGACTGTATAATTATGATATAATTAGATGGTAGTGAATATAACAGTATACCCTGAACTAAAAGAAAATGTATTGCGAAAACGAGTATTTGATAGGGCAAGCTATTATATATATTTTACAGGGATTTGCCTATTCATTTGTTTTTAAAAATATGGCTTAACATACACAAAACCCCGTACTAAAATTGGAAAATAAAACATCTTATTCCCAATTAACTAATTAAGGACCATTCCATACATGGGTAATGACTAATTTGCATGGGTAAATGGGGCATACACAGGTTGGGTTCTAACGATTTTTTTTTTCAATATTCTGTTTCTTCATCTCTTATACTCAACTCAGAGGAACTCACGAAGCAGGTTAATGACTACTATTAAAAATCACTAGCATATAAACCACTAGCACATACGCGGCTTGGGTTTCCATGGCAACGGATAGTTGTTAGGTGTTTCCATTTTTTTTCTATTCTTGTTTTCCTTCTTATATGTCTATGAAAATGAACACCTGGACACGCACGCACGAATGCGCGCTCGCACACACACACACACACGCGCACACGCACGCGCACACGCACGCGCACGCGCACGCGCACGCGCACACGCACACGCACACCCACACACATACATTTTTATTATCATTTTTTAAAGATTTAAAAAGCAAATCTCAAATTAATGTCGGGCCGAAGAGTACTGTGACCGGATCGCGTTTGATGATGAAACCAAGATCGAGGTGTTTAAAAATCTGCTAACGAAGTTAGTAAGAGAAACTAAGGGAAAGAAAACGCCTGCATATTCGAGAGCCTAGATTGGACTTTTAAAGCCGCGGTATAGACAAAATGATTAATATATATTATGATTTACAGAATTTATTAAACAATCCTCTTTCTGGCTAAAAACAATATATTCTGTATTTTTTTTTTTACAGAGTCCGAAAACTATATCTGAGCACTGAAATGAAATACAACGCTAATATAAAACTCATTTATACTACATTAAATGTGAGGCTGTTTGAAAATCAAATTTTTATCTTCTGAAGCATATTGGCGAAGACCTGGTTCTAGGGAAGTACCGAGATGGCAACTCGATCCAGAACAGCAATGCTCACGAGACACACTGTGAATGGATTCCGCTACCAGGTGGCTGTGGTCACCAAGGGCCGCGCAGTGCTGGTGCAGGTGGTGGAGTGGATGTACCAAGGCGGGCCCTGTGTAAAGACCTATTTTCTCAGTCTAGGGCACTCCAAGGCAGACTACAAACGCAAGTTCAACAGCGAGCAAAGACATTTGTTAGAGAGAGGTGTCCCATTTAAGGAGTACGACATCTCACTGCTCTACAGTGTTCTCCAACTCATGTGCGGACTGGCTGGCCCGAGCGACCCTGCCTGGGCTTCCCCTCCCACGGGCCAGCCTCTGGAGCATCTCCTGCACAAGGTGAAAATAAAGCGCAACGACATTGCGCACACAAATGACGTCCGGCAGATGTCGGACCAAGAGCTTATGAAAGAGTTGAGGAAACTTAGGTGCTTGTTCTCTAGGATTCTTAGGTTGGCCGGGAACAGATGTGGAATACGTCCTCATGTTTTCCGTGATCAGGTTTGGGAGATCAAGCAAAACTTTCAGGACCTCTTAAAAAAGGTTAGAGAACCTCTTCAGGCTTCAGACCTGGACAAGTTCCCACAACTGCAACAAGAAATTCAAGTCTTTCAAAAAGCACTTCAGAACAAGATAAGGGAGGCGAGTGAGCGGGAGCTGCGTGGTCTCTACCCGCAACTGTGGGATGTGACTCTTGCACAGTGGCTGTATCCAGACCTTAAAATCCGACCGAGTGTAAACTTTACGAACCTGGTAATCAAAGAGGACACCTCAACTCTGTCACCGTCTCAGCAACTGCAACACCAGCCTCGGGACATATCTCACAAGGATCTGTTGCAAATCACAGATGCCTACGGTCGCCTGCCTGAAGTGATCATAATATCAGGTGAGGGAGGAATGGGGAAGACCACGCTGCTGAAGCACATGTTGGAGATGTGGGTGAGAGATCCCTCGCAAATCAAGGGACTTCAAGCTGTTTCTCCTCTACTGTACCTACAGCTGAGAGGGTCCACCATTACCAACTGGAAGGACATGCTTAAGAGTGCCCTTTGCAGTACATTTCAGGAGTCTGGACTTACTACTGACGTTTTTGCCGATCTATTTCAGGCTATGCATGTTGTAGTCCTTCTGGATGGTTATGATGAAGTGAGTAAAAAGGCAAAGGAGCTCATAACTGATCTCATAAGCTACCGAAGAAACATGCGTATTTTGATAACCACTAGACCGAGCTGTCAGAAAGAGCTGACTCAAATAATGAAGAATAAGAAGCAAGTAATGAACATCGAAATCAAAGGCATTGATAGGAAAGATCGCTCCTACTTTATTGAAAACACTCTAACTGCTCTTGTACATGATCCAGTGCGAAGGGATGAATTGAAAGAGAAAATCATTAGTAATCTTTGGAACTTGAAAACGGAGCAGGGAGGTATGGACGTTCCTCTAACCCTGACCCTGTTGATCATACGCGACGTTGAGGCTCCAGATGAGAGCTCACCCGATGTCTATCAGGACTTGACATCCCTCATGATTAAAAAAGTCAAGGAGAGAGTGGCAGCAAAGGGCATTGGTGTAACTCTGGACAAAGTTCGAGAATATCATGATTTCCAGAGAGGAGTTGCTCTACGATGTCTGAAGAAACACGAACATGACTTGCTGTCAGAAACAGTGGCAGATTTGAAAGCAAAGTGCAATGAGCTAAATCTGCCACACAAAGAAATTCTATCTGGATTTCTTACCTCAAAGAAATTTAGGCAAGGTCTGTTTATCGTCCAAGTGTGGTCCTTCCCACACAATCGATTTCAAGAACACTGGGCTGCAAGTCATATAGCTACACAGTTGTCAAAGATGTCCCACGCACTGCCAGACATGACAGGCTTGCTGGATTTTGCTTTCCTAACTGATGCCGAGAAGAAGAAAAAGATTGGTATGCCAGGACTGCCAACTGAGGAGGAAGTAGTAACCTTTATGTTCAACAAAAATCCTATTCTCCAGATTTATGCAGACAATATTGAAGAGGCACAAGAACTGATATGGCAAAATATAGTAGGAGACATATCAATACTACTAATGGAAATCGTTTTTCACATTGCACGTATTTTGTCATTGTCACAAGAGAACTTTCTGGATAAGTTTGCATATGCTATCATCAGCTTTATATTATACAGTGATCAATCTCATCTGATCAGTAAGAATAGCTGCCACAGGATCTGCGAGACGGTGATGGCTTCGGGACAACATCCCAGTATCTTAGAGGCAGCTGCCAAAGTGCTGAGAAACAGAGGCACACTAATGACTCGAGGGGAGTATCTGCCTGGCTTCGTAGCTTTGTTTGACTACGTCAGGCCTTCCTGCGTGGAAGTCTTCATGAGTAAAGAGACAGAAGAGTTGCCACCAAGCTGGCAGGTCTCTGGTCTGGAGGCATTGTCCAAGCAGAACATTGAAGTCATACTCATTATAAGTGATATAAAGAGTTCTATTCAGTTTTCTGAGGCATGTCTCCGGGCAACCACAGGCCCAGGAAGTGTTTGTCGGCTGACCAAGTTCGAAGGTGAATTGACAGCGGTCGGGATGCAGCTTCTTCCTGATCGCCTGGAAAAGATGAGAACCACGTCTGACGGGGAGGGAGTACGGGCTTTAGTGACGAGGCTTCAACTTCTACGGAGACTTCAGATCTTAGGTGAGCTGTATACACACACACACACACACACACACACACACACACACACACATATATATATATATATATATATATATATATATATAAATAGATAAATAGATATAGATATACATGTATATTGATAAAAATGTACATATATGTATGTGTATATATATATATATATATATATGTGTATATATATATATATATATATATATATATATATATATATATATATATATATATATACATATGTACATTTATCGCAATGCCGAAAAAAAATAGGGGAAATGCTGTGCTCATTTTCTTATTTTTTTGTGAAATGTTTCTGCACATAGATGCCTCTGCTAGTGCTTGGCCACAAAGGAGTCAATTAATAAACCTTGTGACCTTACCTGATTTGAATTGGCGGGTCACTCGTGGTCGAAACACTCGTGTTTGTATTTTTGATGAGCGTTACTGCGGACACTCGTGTTTGAACTCTTGACGTGACAACACTTCCTAACGCAGTAGGTAGCAACAAATACAAAGCTCTTGTGTGCCAACTCTTGAGCTTACCCTGGGAGCCCGGGGGGGGGGGGCCTCTTCGTCTCGCTTTTTGACATTTGTTGTTCCTGAGTTATTTAAAGTAATCGAAGAGTAAACAGAGTACAGTAAATAAAAGTAAAAAGAAAAGTTTAGTAAAAGTAAAAGTAAATCTGTATTTATCAGAAAGAGAACGTTGCCAGCACCTTCAGTGCTCGTGCTTTTGAGGGTGGCACGAGATGGGCAGTAGAAGAGAGTAGAAGTAGTAGAGTTAGTAAAGTATAGAGGTTGGCACGAGGGTTGTGGCGCGAGGGCAAGTAAGTATATATACAAGTAGTAAGTAGAGGGCCTAGTCATCAGCACCCCCCCACCTCAGCAGACCCGCAGAAGCAGAGAGAGCTCTCTTCTACACCAGGGGAATAAAAATATACTAGGTTTTTATAGTAGCCCTCCTTGTGGCTTTGGACCCCCCCATGGGTAGGGGAGGCCCAGTAGTAGTTGGGGCCGTCATTTGGGCCGCACTTTTTCTTAATTTCTAAAATTTTCTAAATAATGTGACTCCCTGAGCCCTACCGGAGTAGGTTGAGAGTAGTACCCTGTGGGGCTCCCGTATCGCTGCTTCTCTTTGGCGGGGTGGGCATTGAAGTAATATTACGCCTTCGCCTTAGGCAAAAGAAAAGGTTCGGCGGTTTTAAGGATGTCTTTTTATATTGCGGTATTCTGGGTTTGAAGGAGGTTTGTTAAGGAGGTTTGTCCACACATAAAACTCGATCCCTCTGTGGTACTGGAGAGAGGGAGGAGGGCGAACGCAACCAGGCCTTCCATACTGCGCGGGGGTTTAGTTATGGGTATTATAGAGGACGTTTAAACTGCCTCTCTTACTCTCTTAGCTATTGTTGTTAGGTTTGATACCAAAAAGTTTAAGAGTTTGTTAAAGAGTTTGTGATCCCTTAGGACAACCATTTGTTTGAGACACGGGGGGGTTCGTCGGTACCTGGTTTCCGATACCCAGGAATGAGTGATTACCCCGGGCTACCCCTTCTCCTCCTCAAGGAAGGGGGGGAAGAAACAACGGACTAACCGCACTTTTCTATGACTAATTCGACTTAATGAACAATGGTACCCCCACTAAAAAACTAACGACCCCCCCAAACCCCAA